CACTACTTTAGATGGAATCGACACAACAAAACCTTACACGGAAACTGAAGAAGATTATACATCTAACTTCAGTACGGATTCACCAACAGATATACACACCGAAAGCACATGGATGACTAATAGGCCAGAATCAACTGACACTACCACGGAAAAAGAAATAACAACGCCTGAAGATGTCCAGTCTCCGGAAACGACAATGACTACTGGAAATGGACAAACGAGTATATCTCAAAGTACAATAGAACATTCTACCGCTGCCATTACTACACCGACATCTACATCGCTAGACCCATCAACAGATGCTGAAACAACTATCAGTAGTGGGTCGACTGTCACTGGAACGTCGGAAGTGAGCACGGTGATTACGTCAGCGCCAGATACGTCGGAGACTTCATTTACGACAGTAACGCAAATTACAGATTACTCTGAAGACCCGTCAACTACATATGTAACAATGTCTACAGACAGAACTACTGTTACAAAGGCACCAGAGTCCACGATGCCTGAGGTAGAGACGACGACAGAAAACGCGATCTGTCCACCTGGAGTGATTGGAAACGTACCTCACCCGGAGAAATGTAATTCATTCTACATGTGTGCAGGCGGAGTCGCCATTCAACTTTACTGCAGTAATGGGTTTGAGTTTGATCCCGCAGTTGGTGTAAGTATTTAATTGATAAGCTTAACGAACCTTTATTTGCGTTAGAATTTATAGCTTTCAGATGCTTAAATATTTTTAGTGTCACCTTTATATTTTATGTGTAAGCTACTAGTATACCTTTTTAATAGCGAACACGCCTTGCAGGAATCGAATATGCGACTCGATACGCCCATCACTGTCAAGAGTCTAGAATAAATTTTGTTTTGAATTTGATAATTTAAGATTAACGTTAATTTTTAGTGCTATTTTCTGCACTTAAGATGAAACTAAAAATCTTTTTTTGATAAATGAACAAAAACTTATAAAAATCTATATAGGTATATATCCTGAACTTTAAGAGCAAAGGCGACCTTTCTCGTTACAAATGTTTATCTTTAAATCTTCTCTGTTAGGTGTTTAAAACACACTAGATGGCACAAAACACTGCTTAAAAATGCAATATAGAACGTAGATGGATGATAAGGTTTTCAAGGCGTACGGTCATCGCCCACTCAGTTTAATTGGTGAATCTTTTGAAAGCTTTAACTCTGCGGTACTGAAAGATTTTGTTCATTTATCTACGAAAAATCTCATTTTTAATTTGATTAGGCTGTTATTGCTTTAATGGGAAACATAAACTAAACATCAATTTTGTTAACTTTTTCTTGATTATGTGTGAAATAAAGGCAAGCGAAAACCATTAATTTATTAACTTCAGTCAGCACAACGTGGTAATGGCATTACGTAAATAATATTCCTTTTAATAAAAAACAAACTGAAATGTTATTTGATAAGTTTTTTAGTCTTAGTACATGTGTTATTACATACAATTTAATTGCAGCACTGCGTCCTCATCTCCGATAGTGGTTGTACAGCATTAAAAGGTATTTTTTCACCCTTCTTTATACATCCTTTAAGTTAAATTTAAAAACCAAAACAGATATAAAATTGACATTTCGAATAAAAATATCTCCCGTATTATTTTTGTTTATTAGTTGAACATAATTTATAACTTTCATTTTTTTATTTTAGGCAGCACTACTACACAACTGAGTAGTACAAATGACGTTAGCACTGGGTATAGTGACACTACTTTAGATGGAATCGACACAACAAAACCTTACACGGAAACTGAAGAAGATCATACATCCAACATCAATACGGATCCACCAACAGATATACACACCGAAAGCACATGGATGACTAATAGGCCAGAATCAACTGACACTACCACGGAAAAAGAAATAACAACGCCTGAAGATGTCCAGTCTCCGGAAACGACAATGACTACTGGAAATGGACAAACGAGTATATCTCAAAGTACAATAGAACATTCTACCGCTGCCATTACTACACCGACATCTACATCGCTAGACCCATCAACAGACGTTGAAACAACTATCAGTAGTGGGTCAACTGTCACTGGAACGTCGGAAGTGAGCACGGTGATCACGTCAGCGCCAGATACATCGGAAACTTCATTTACGACGGTAACGCAAATTACAGATTACACTGAAGACCCGTCAACTACATATGTAACAATGTCTACAGACAGAACTACTGTTACAAAGGCACCAGAGTCCACGATGCCTGAGGTAGAGACGACGACAGAAAACGCGATCTGTCCGCCTGGAGTGTTTGGAAACGTACCTCACCCGGAGAAATGCGATTCATTCTACATGTGTGCAGGTGGAGTTGCCATTCAACTTTATTGCAGTAACGGATTCGAGTTTGATCCTGCAATTGGTGTAAGTCAAATGCAAATTTTAAATATATTCAACCAGTATAGAAGCATAAGCACACTGTCTTATTGATTGTCTAAATACTACTACTTAAAGAATTAATTTGATAGTGCTTTTACCGCTAGTAAACAATGCTAGTACCAATGAAGTTTTTAACTTTAAGTGCTGACTTATCACGTGCTCCACGGTGAAGTAAAATATCGTGAGGAAACCTGCATATTTTCGAAATAATACCGAATAAAAATGTATTTCGAAGATATATGAAGTCAGCCAATCCGCAATGGGGCCCCGTGGTGGACTATGCCCTGATACTCTCTGTATAGAGGAGGCCTTTGCCCAGCAGTGGGACATGTATAGGCTGTTACTTTTTCTTACCGCTATTATCGGATTTATAGCTTCATTTTAAATCTATTTTGTTAAATTTTACTTGATTATGTGGGAAATAATGGCAATCGGAAATGATTAATTTATTAACTTTAATCAGTAAAACGTGGTTATGGCAACACTTAAATTTTGCTGTTAATAATAATCAAACTGCTAATTTTATTTAAAAGTTTAGTTAAGTCATTGTACATGTGTTATTTCTTACATACATTTTAATTGCAGCACTGTGTCCTCATCTCCGATAGTGGTTGTACGGCATTAAAAGGTATTTTTTTCGCTATTCTTTATACGACTTTTAAGTTAAATTTAAAAACAAACATAAAATTCACATTTCGAATAAAAGTATCTCCCGTATTATTTTTGTTTATTAGTAGAACATAATTTATAACTTTCATTTTTTTTATTTTAGGCAGCACTACTACACAACTAAGTAGTACAAATGACGCTAGCACTGGGTATAGTGACACTACTTTAGATGGTATCGGCACAACAAAACCTTACACCGAAACTGAAGAAGATTATACACCCAACTTCAATCCGGATTCACCTACAGATATGATATCCGAAAGCACATGGATGACTAATAAGCCAGAATCAACTTCAGAAACTACCACTGAAAAAGAGATAACAACGCCCTCAGATGTTCAGTCTCCAGAAACGACAATGACTACTGGAAATGTACAAACAACTATGTCCGAAAGTACAATAGAACACTCCACCCCTGCCATCACTACATCGACATCTACAACGCTATATCCATCAACAAAGACTACATCAGTTGATGCAGAAACGATTAACAGCAGCGGGTCGACTGTCACTGAAACGACGGAAGCGGGCACGGTGACCACGTCAGCGGCAGATATAGCTGAGACTTCAACTGCGACGGAAACACAAACTGTAGATTACTCCGAAAGTTCGTCAACTACATATGTGACAATGTCTTCTGAGAGAACTACTGTTACAAACGCGCCAGAGACCACGATGCCTGAGGTAGAGACGACGACGGAAATCGCGATCTGTCCACCTGGCGTATTTGGCAATGTGCCTCACCCGGAGAAATGCGATTCATTCTACATGTGTGCAGGTGGAGTTGCCATTCAACTATATTGCAGTAATGGATTCGAGTTTGATCCTGCAGTTGGTGTGAGTCAAAATCAAATTTTCAGTAGCCAACATGGAAGCATTACACTCACTTATTGATTGTCAAAATACTCCTACCGGTTCTGAAAAGTAAAGGCATTGACCTGAGAAGAATTAATTTGATAATACTTTTAAAGCTAATAAACATCAATTAAACATAGATTTTGTTAATTTTTCCTAACTATTCGTAGAATAAAGGCGAGCAAAAATCATTAATTTATTTACATCAATCATTACAACGTGGTCATGGCAAGTAAACCTTACAGTAAATAAAAAGCAAACTGCAAAGATTATTTAATAAGTTTAGTTTCGTCATAGTACAGGTTTTATTTATATCATTTCAATTATATTTCTTATTCAATTATATAATTACATATTAAAATTTAATTGCAGCACTGCGTGCTCATCTCCGATAGTGGTTGTACAGCTTTAAAAGGTATTGTTTTTACTAATTTATACGAATTTTAAGTTAAAAATAGTAACAAAAAAAAAAATATTTATGTTTCGGATTAAAACTGTGTACGTACTTGATATGTTCATTCTTATTATTTAATTTATAATTTCAGGCACCACTACTACACAAAAAAGTAGTACAAATGGCGCTAGCACTGGGTATAGTGACACTACTTTAGATGAAATCGACACAACAAAACCTTACACGGAAACTGAAGAAGATCATACATCCAACTTCGGTACGGATTCTCCAACAGATATTATATCCGAAAGCACGTGGATGACCAATAATCCAGAATCAACTTCAGAAACAACCACTGAAAAAGGAATAACCACGCCCAAATATGTCCAGTCTCCAGAAACGACAATGACTACTGGAAACGGGCAAACAACTATGACTCAAAGTACAATAGAACATTCTACCCCTGCCATTACTACACCGACATCAACAACGCTAGATCCATCAATTAAAACTACATCAGTTGATGCTGAAACAAGTATCGGTAGCGGGTCGACTGAAGCTGGAACAATAGAAGCAGGCACAATGACAACTTCAGATGTAAATACAGCGGCAACTTCAGATACCACCGTAACACAAACGTGCAGAGTATTCCGAAAGCCAGACATATACTGATGTAGTAATGTCTACTGAGAGGAGCACAGTAACAAACGCACCGGAATCCACGACGACCGGAATAGCGATCTGTCCACCTGGTGTGTTTGGCAACGTGCCTCACCCGGAGAAGTGCGATTCATTCTACATGTGTGCAGGCGGAGTTGCCATCCCACTATTTTGTAGCAATGGATTCGAATTTGATCCCAAACTTGGTGTAAGTGTTTCCTACAAAACTATGTGTAAAGACTATGTTAACAGATGATATCTAATCTTAAACTACTGTAGTTTGTCACCTCTTTAACCTCTTTTTAACCCTGATTGATGAGAAGTAGAAAGATAACCTAATCTGTGTCACCGACGTCCTTAGAAGCTGCTTAAAAGTCTAATATTTTAAAAACTTAAAATCTAGGTCTAACATTTATTTATTTTTATTTAGATTTCGTTTAAAGCTGACACGTGCGTAATATTTAATTTTAAACTCGTACCAAAACCCAAGTTTCAGTTCTGCACAGGAGGACTGTAATAGTTAGTATTTAAGTCTTATAAGCCTAAAGGTGTTGCACAGTATTTTTGAATCAATTTTACAACTGTTGTACATTCTATTACACTCACTTACTTTTTGTTCACATTATTATTTTATTGTATTCCATATCCAGTACAGAATAATGAAAACAAAAATAAGTGAATTAATCTTGTACAAATATCAATCATCGACGTGTCTATGGAGAAAATCACTAACGGTGTCTAACTCTATGGCGTTATAAGGAATAACTACGATATTAATTTTAATTATGTTTTTCATGTTTGTAATACAATATAAGTCAAAATAATATGTTGAGTTTAGTGAGTGCCATATTAATAATAATCAATTATTTGGTAATTCATATGCAAGAATTATATAATAATAATATATAGAAATTATATAATAACATATAAAAATAAGTAATTGAAAAGTTCAGTAAACTTTTTTTTTTTGATAATTGACATAATTATGTAAATTGAATTAAATTAAATATGTATTTTTCTTACAGCATTGCGTCCTGATCAGTGATAGTGGTTGCACAGCATTAAAAGGTATTTGTTAGCACTAAGTTGAATGTATACATTTCAGTAAACAATTACAAAACAAAACGAACAGCTTATTTATTTAAACTATTCATGTATTTGAAATCTAGATTTACATTTTTTCATTTTAGGCGGCAGTACTACACAAAAAATTAGTACAAACGACATAACCACTGATAGCACTTTCGAAGAAACTGTCACTACAGAATCTCTTGAAATAGAAGAAATTAACACTACACTCACTTATGGTACGGGATCAACAAAGGAGATTTCCGAAAGTACGTGGATGACTAATTCACCAGACTCGATTACAGAAACCACCACTGAACTCGAAATCACAAACCCCAATGATGTGAAAACTTCTCCTGAAGTGGGAGTGACTAGTGGATATGAACCAACGACTATGTTTCTAAGTACAACAGATCATACCTCTGACGTAACTGCAGAAACTTCAACGATAGGAACGCCCACAGAAACTACATTGACTGAAATAGACGTTAATAGTAGCACTTCGATTGACTTCCAAACGACAGAAGTGGACGTAGTCTCAACGTCAACTACAACTCCAACTTTGTGGACCCTGAAACCCAGACAACTTCGGATGTTACAGTGTCTACTGACAGGAGTACTGTAACAGATCCACCAGGGTCTCCGACTGTGATCTGTCCACCTGGCGTGTTTGGCAACGTGCCTCACCCGGAGGAGTGTGATTCTTTTTACATGTGCGCAGGCGGGATAGCTATTCCGCTTTATTGCAGCAAAGGATTTGAATTTGATCCCACACTCGGTGTAAGTGTTATTTATATAAAATTCTGAGTTCTTTACAGTGTTGTTTGGTACTGTAACCAAAGAGATGTGGAGTACCATAATCTAAGTCATCTCTGCCATGTATCGTAAGGGTTTGAAACCCTTACGATAGCTGAGTCTCTATCCCTGTGTTGTTGTGCTGAGCTTTACATTTAACGATTTACCCTATTTTAAAACAGCGATAACATTACATTAAGTAACATAATTGGAGCAAAATGAAGGAAACCGGTTTCCTTTATTTTGTTGAAATATCCAATATGTAAATAACAAATAAGGAATGACAATTACACACACTTCTATTACAGACCTGCGTTTTGATCTCCGATAGTGGCTGCACAGCATTAAAAGGTAAATTGTTACTAATTTATGAATACGTACTCTTATTATGTAACATTTAAAAACTGTAACTTTCTGATTAAATTAGGAGTTAATGTTCCTTTGCTTTTGATTGTTAAATATTAATTTTTAGGAAGCACTACAACACAAAATAGTTATAAAACCGAGACGACTAATTATACTACGGTAATAGAAGGCGTCCAAACAACGCTAGCGGCCACATCGTCAACGTCGCAGCAAATTGTAACGGACACTCCAAATGCGACCGTAACACAAACTGCAGAGGACTCAACAATATTTCTAACGACAACTCAAAACCAGAAAACTACAGGTGTAACGTCTACAGAGAGAACTACTATTACTAACGCACCTGAATCCACGACGCCCGAAGTAGAGACGACCACTGGAAACGCGATCTGTCCACCCGGCGTTTTTGGCAACGTGCCTCACCCGGAGAAGTGTGATTCATTCTACATGTGCGCAGGCGGAATCGCTATTCCTCTGTACTGCAGTAATGGGTTCGAGTTTGATCCAGCACTTGGTGTAAGTATTTCATAATTTTTACATCGGTTCTTAAAGTTGGCGTTAAGCTTTGTAACCATAATTATTTGGGAAAAATTATTGACCCCAAGCTTTCACATATACCCTACTTAGTGAATTAGAGAAGTATATTGCGATCCACGTTTCAATTTTTATGTGGGAATTAAAGTAGTGTTAAGTCCCTCTAGTATAAATGCAGCTGTTAGTATCTGAAGGGTACAGTTTATTTGCCAACCATTTAAAGGCCTCACTCTCCTACCGTAATACCATTTAATCTTCACACACACTTCCACTTTACGGCGGTCTTCGGTAAGTTAGCTTCATGTGAACTCAGAAATGGGTACTTCTATATCAGTCCATTATTGATAGGCTGACTTAATGAAATTTCGATAAAAATTCCGCGTCTGTTCCGCGTTATGATACATTTATTGCATAATATCGCTAATATTAAAAACGTAAAAGAAATTTATATTGTTAAGTTGTAGTAAATATTTATTAATTAATTATATTTTTTAACAATAAATACTATTTTGTTACAGAACTGCGTCCTGATCTCCGATGATGGTTGTACCGCAATGAAAGGTATATTACTTTTTAATGATGCATTCAAAGAACGTTTAAAAAAACCGCCACCAATTGACATTCGTTTGATATCCGAAGGGTTGCAGATGCGTTACCACACCTTAATATATAAGTGGATGGCGAAGGAGTCCGTGGTTTACCTGATGTTAAGTGATAACCGCCACCAATTGACATTCGTTTGATATCCGAAGGGTTGCAGATGCGTTACCACACCTTTTAACATAGTGGGCCCCGCCACCAATCGCTCACCCAGACGAAAAGTCGCAGATGTTAAGTATAACCGACACTTCCATTCGTTTGATATCCGAAGGGTTGCAGATGCGTCATCTGTGGATGGCGAAGGAGTCCGTGGTTACCTGATGTGGATAACCACCAATTTACATTCGGTACTTACCCCACACCTTACGGACTTGCCTGATGTTAAGTGATAACCGCCATCCGTTCAACAAACCACCTTTTAACATAGTGGCCCCACTCACTCACCAGACTGTTGCGTGGCCCTACCACAAATACACACTAGGCAAATTTGTGTTTCACCTAAAGGTTACATAGTTACGTTTTTTAAACATCATTTTAAATTTATTTTAGGTAGCACTTCTATACCAAACAGCAGTGCAAATGACATAACCGATGGTCACAGTGACACCACGTTAGATAAAACCGACACGACAAAACATTCTACAGAATTAGAAGAAGTTGTTACCTTATCCACCTCCCGTACGGATTATACGAACGAGGTTGTATCTGAAAGTACACCGTCAAAGTCAACCGTAACACAATCAGAGGACCAAACAACTACAAATGCAACTATATATACTGCGAAGAGCACTGTAACAAACCGGCCAGAATCTACAACACTTTCGCTTGAAACTACGACAGAAGTTGCGATCTGTCCACCTGGCGTGTTTGGCAACGTGCCACACCCGGAGAGCTGCGATTCATTCTATATGTGTGCAGGAGGGACTGCCATTCCGCTATATTGCAGTAATGGATTCGAGTTTGATTCCGCTGTTGGTGTAAGTATTTAATATATTTACTCAACGAATTATTAGCTTCGTTAAAGTTGACGCTAAACATTCTTCAATCCATTCAACTCTAAGTCCCTTCCTCGAACGGATCTACTACTACTATACTATGAACAGCGGATGCTGTAGCTTGGGCCTATTTCACACAATGAAAAATTTACTTGTACAAGTGTAGATACGTGAATTTTAGAAGTATATGAGAAAAAAGCTGTGTCGTTTAAAAATAATTATTTGCATTTCAGCAATGTGTCGCAATATCTGAAGAGGGCTGTACAGCGCAACAAAGTAAGTCATCTTCTAATAAAAGGTATAATTTTTAAAGACATTCACATCGTGTAATTCATGAATTGAATTCAATTCATGAACATTCATACAATTCGTGAATGCGATTCCCACTTGTAAATTACCTTGGTTAGACATTTCTGAATTAATTTTTATCTAGTTATTCACAACGAAAAATCAAATTTCAAATTTTAGAAAGGACAACTTCCGGTGATGAAGTAGAAACAGATGATAAAGACACAACGATAGATGCAGAAGACATGAATACTAGCGAATCACCTAGCGTTGTAGAAGCCGATTCAACCTCCACCACAAGAGTCACAGATGAGATAGTAGAAACGACAACAGAAGCAGCTGTATGCCCACCGGGAGTATTTGGCAGCGTACCACACCCAACTCTATGCGACGCTTTCTATATGTGTACGGGAAACGTTGCGATACAGCTGTATTGTGGTTCCGGATTTGAATTCGACCCAGAGCTTGCAGTATGTTGAAATTTTAGTAAAATATTATGATAAATTTAAATTTTGTAATTTTTCAAATATTTTCTACAAGTTTTAATTTCCCCAATTGTTGTTTAATAGTGAAGATGAAGTATAATTTAATTTTAGTAACAACAGTACAACGTTTAAATAGGGATGAAAGTTAATTATTTGTAATAAAGGCCTTTTAAAATTCTCCACTTTTTACATGTGAACGCTTTCGATTAAAGTTTCTGGAGTTAAATTGTGCATGGTTTTGTTAGTTACTGCTAGTATTGAAAACACATCCCTTACTTTGAGGAAATAATATTTCTAATTCTGTTACAGTTTCTCAGCCATGTGAATATTTATTCTGGTCGAAAAAGAAACGATTCTCATTTTTTTTCCATTAAGTAAGGCGTCTAATTTCTTTTTGTTACAGCGGTGCGTGGTGATATCAGACAACGGTTGTACAGCAATGAGAACATGATGAGACAAAACAAAAGAAAACGAAAGTATTAGAATCACGGCTGTGTATTATTTATATTCATATCCGCCTGCTTAATAAGCTCATTTTTGATTATTTATACACAGAAGGTCGACAAAGCTCTAGTGGCTCTAGTTGATGCCGCAATTTGCTCATATTCCTGCGATACAAAAGTTGCGATGTAATAAAGGGGAAATGATTCTATTGAAGCTGTGGTTTAAATTTTATAATTTTTATTTTAATTTAGTGACAAGAAGTTTTGTATTTTACTTTACTACACTAATAAATACTTTCAATTTAAAAGAGTAACTTTACTCTTTATAAGAGTTACACAAGGCATAAATTCACATTCTCGGACGATTTAGTAGGACGGACACTTTAGTAAATAAACTACAAAAAAACCCTAATTTCGCGAAAAGTTTTATTGAAACCAGAAGCAGATTGTAACATCGAAGAAAACCAAAGACTCATAAAGCTTTCCATAGCATTGGGGCTGAAATATTTAAACATTATTAAGCCCTTGCCCACTCTTATTTTATAGAATGTGTACTGATGTGCATGTGTAATGCAAGAACAACATGTTACATTCAACATTAATTACAGAAAATCTTTAGATAGTAGAAATGGATCATTTGGTAATTCGCACCAGCACTGCCGAGAACACAATACGTATTTTACCTTGCCGTAATCAAACGTTGTGAACTATAATTATGACATTTAACCACCAAATGAAGATCATTTGGCGGTTAAATGTCATAAGCTTAAGCGTGCTTTCTCTAAGGAAACCGTTTCATATAAGGCAGGTGATGACGTTAATAATTTTGTTATTCAATTTTATATTAACAATTACTTTGTAAACGCAATGTATATGTGTAACTTTTTTACTTCATAAATTTCTTTGTTGCAAATTAATGAACTTACAATTAGATTTTAACAACAATGGCAGAGGTTTTAATGATTCTTTGGACGTGTGCCCGTATTATTATAGTTTTTAATTAATAATTACAATACAAGAGCAGTTAAGTAAATGAATACTAACGTCATAAGCTATGTTAATTAAAAAAATCTTCTATTATAAAGTAACTAAAACAGGCAAGTTAGGGCAAATTTCTAAAACAATTAATTTTTTTCATAGAATGGATTAGGTAAAACGGACATATGACATGTAATTACGTTGATATGTCTGCATTAAAATTAGTCTTTTGTCATCAAGACGTACGTACTAATAAACTAATAGATTTGCTTGTAGATTTGAACCACGGATTAACCATGACTTGACTCGTCCTTGAATAGGGTTCGACTTCTAGTAGGCATAATTTTTTTTGTTAGTACTAACTTTAGTACCATAACAATCGTTGAGTTAAACCTGTATTTTTGTAATAAGATACTGTCTTTTGGAGATGCATTCCCTTCTGTTTAAATTTCGTTGAGTGCATGAATTTTTTCTAACTTAAAATTAAATTATAAGATATAATAGCAGCTAAAGACAATCATCATAATTTTCTTCTTAATATTTGAACGTTCCTTTTGTTTCCACTTATTGAACTAGCGATCTCTTAAAACATATTTAATTTTACTGTTACATTACCACCATTCTATTTTACGTTTGCACCATGTTTATAGACTTGTAAAGAATCTTAGCAGAATTTTTTTCAGTTGTGATTTCATCGTCCATCGTTATTCGGCGACTGTAATTGGATCAAAAAGTCTAATTTGATTCGAGCTGATAGAGGGTTTACTAGGACATTGTCGTTAGTTGGTGCAACATTTGCTTCCCCGTAAACGCTTGCAACTCTAACATCTTGTTTGCGTTCCTCTTCCTCTTTGCTCTTAATGTTGTCTTGAATCTTGTCAGCAGTTGATTTGGGTTGAAAATTTGTTGTTACATTCATCGTATTTGTATGAGTCCGTCGTGAATATATTTTATCGAAGTAGTTTTCTATTTCGTAGGGCACGGTTGTATATGCATCTTGCACAACAAAACTGTCAAGTATTGCATTAGGCTTACTAATTTCATTATTATTGTTTGAGTTATCATCCGACCTCATGAGTTCACTCCCCTTTTCAGAATTTAATTCTGTGAATTCTTCCACATTTGATAAGTACGGGCTTGATGTAGTCAGTGTCTGTTCTGTCATATTAATCTTGTGATACAGAATTTTAGTGGCTGACGTGCTGTTGTATTCAAGTGAATCTAATGTAGTTATGGATAATATATTTTGGTCTATTAGATCTGCGTTGTTAGGTGTTAAGTTTGAGACATCATTATGCGAATGAATTGTAGAAGGACTTGAATTTAAGCTAACCGTTTCTGAACTGTCATAATTTTCTACCTCGGAATTTCTTTCATTCGAACTATTTATAATTGGGTTTGTAGTAGTTATCAAAGTATATGGCGATGATAATGATGATGTTTGCACCACAGCAGGTCCATACGTTAATTGCTCTTCCACTGACGACTCCATGCTTTGGTACTCATCGCTTCTTCTTGATGCGAATTCGCTGAATTTATTAAACTTTTTACTTGTGCTATCATCATTTATTAACTCTCCCAATTGTCTTTCAGGTCGCGTGTTATACTTAACGCTTATTTTAGGTTGGGATGAGTTACTCTCTTGCACTCCACGTCGTTTTTTTATCTGCGTCATAGGTTTAGATGCCAGAGCGGTTTTTGGTAAAATTAAGTCATTCGACTTTTTATATTTTTCCGTGGTTTCGGGTTGAGAGTTCCCCGAGTATAAATCTTCAACATCTGCCTCAAACAAATTATTTGGTGCTAATGAATCATTATTATTAGATGAAAAATCGCTAAAGGTATATTCTTCGTTACTTCGAACTCCCGAAAAACTTTGCTTATGATGACTATTATTTTTGAGGCTTACTTGAGCTTTATTAGAATTTTCATCATTGTCTATCATAGAAAATAATTGTGAGAAGAATAATTTTCTTCTTTGGTCCTCATTATATGCGTTTCGCGCAAAATTGCGAGACGCAATTTGTTCTAATTGAATTTTCGGATCAATATTTTTTTGATTATCGTTCGAATCGTAATCAACGATGGAACGTTTCGTTCTAAGCAACGTCTCTAAATATTTTATCTTGTCCTGACTCGGTAAAGCTGAAAAAATATTATGTAACAAGTTTTGTCTCAGGTTTGCTTTTGAATCTACTTCTGGAATTAAATTCGAAGCATCTAATGCGTTCCTTCTAACTTTATTGGATATTTCGTTGGCCCGAATATGGTTCAGCTGATTTAAAATCTGAAAAAAAAAAAATTAATATAAGAAAAAATAATATACTAATTAATTCAATATTTACAATACGAAACGCATATTTAAAATTTCACTGTGGTAGGGCCCCGCGTCAGCTACTGCTTTTGCATGGACGGGAAGGCTTCGGTAGGAAAAGAGGTAACGACAAAATGCATACTAAAGAAAGCAGACAACTTCGGGACTACTAGCGTATTGTGGAGTAAGAGTTGTTATGAGTTGTTGTTTCTCCACCATATTTAGCCAGGGTTTCTATTAGGATTATAATAAGATATATAAAAAGCGGGCAGAACTGGCTACCTTATACTGCTTATAGGATTAACAGGAGAGTTTATATAACTTACTTTGAAATCTTCCCATAGTGTATCGCGTTCAATTTCTATTGCTGACACACATATAGAAATTATCACAGCGAAGGAAACTGGAACAAAAATTGTTTAAAAATAAGCTTGTTATGTGATAAGACCGATTAGTTTACATATATAATATATAAAGACTCTGTGGCACAAATGCCAAGGTGTTAGCTTGGGCGCCGGGGGTTGTGGGCTCGATTCCCAATCGAGACAACTATTTGTGTGACCCACAGACAATTGTTTCAGATCTGGGTGTGTGTCGGCCATATGTAAATGAAATATAACGTACCTGTTTGAATTAGCATTATTTTAAGTTGACGATACTGTGTCGTGAATGGCTGAAACCAAAATGGCTGTTATTCAGTCGCTTGTAATCGAATATGCTTTACACAATGACCGTTCGAAATTTAATTTATGATATAACACAATAGTCACTGGTCAAATTTTACGGCTGTTATGATAATTTGTTGCCGCTAGTGTCAAGTGAGACGTGGGCCTCTTGGGGGTACTTTGTTTTTCTTTTAAAATATTTGGAAGATTTTCGGATTGTCACGGACGCTGCATATGCTGTCAACATGCGTTGAACGCACTGTTACTCGCATAGGGATGAATGTTGCAAATATGCAATTAAGGCATTGTTATGCAGAAAAAACAGGGTAGGGTATAGGACGCAGCCTTAAGGGACACCAGCGTTCACAGGCTTAGCGTCAAAGCATGTCTAAGAAGAAAAGTGCTTTACCACTGTACTCTGCAGAAACCTAATTTCTGGCATTGCTTTGAACAGCATCGGCAAGATACCAGAATATTCGAGTTCCCGCTAGTGGCAAAGTTGTACTTTAAAACTACTCGTATTTACATCTCTAGAAGAAGAAATGAATAAATCCGCAACAGAACAAAGTTAATTGACATAGTTTAGAGAGTTAGTAAGCTGAAGTGGCAATGGGCCAGCCATATAGTTTAAAGAACCAATAACCGATGGGAATAAAGGTTCTCAAGTGGCATCTTTGTATTAGCTATCGTAGAGTAGGACGAACCCTACTAGGTGTAGCGACGACCTGTTCATTTGCCTGGTCTTCTCCGACATACACACAAATTCCGGCTAAGACCACAAAGGACTTTTCCAATTTGTACCCCGGGTAGGAAAGATAGAATGTATCTGAGTCTCAGTAAGGCCGGAGAAGGTGTCTGAGTCTCAGTAAGAAAAAAGTGGCGATTTTGCCATCTTCGGTTTAGAGTGAACTCCCCCGTTTTTTGTATAAATCCATGGAGAGCCTGTGAGGTGTTTCAATTCATTTCATTTAATATTCACAAGCTGTATTTCGTGTAACGATTTATCCGTAAAATCTAAAATACGGAAAACAAAAGACCATGTAAGCCGCCGATATAATGTTTCTCTCATTGCTGACCGCTTTAATGACGTATCATAATATAAGATTACATTCAGCATTAGCATTTATGTGTAACGGTTTAGTGATGTGTTACTCATAATACATACCATATTATGTTATATAATTATTATTTGAAATAATAAAACTATAAGTCTGTAGTGGGTACTCATTTCTGTCGCCTACATTTCCTTGGTGGCGTTTACCTTTTCTTACCGACACTAGCACTTAAATAATTCTATACACAGCTAAGTTATCTTTTCTCAGTCAACTTATGCCATTTCATTGACTTCATTCAGAATATTTATATAATAGATATGTATACTTTTCTTTTAGTGATTGGGCAATAGAAAGTAGGGGCATTAATTAATTAGTTATTAATTTACTCTTCATTGTACACCAAAAACAGGATGTGTGAGAGCATCAGACGATAAGTTTCTAGAATATGTAAGAAGACTATCCATAAGGTTCTCGCCAATAATGTTAATTTTTAATCACATTAATTTATAAAATTCAAAGACGCCCAATTCTAACGAAAAATGTTTAAAGTTTTATAAGATACTCGAAATTGTTACTTACATATGTGTTTTATTCTAGAACTGACTAAATCAAACAAAATAAAGCTACTATTTCTTACTGTGGTTTCTACCAACAGCTTATACAAGACGATTCTGACGAAACACCGGGAATAATAAATAAGGGAAACGTAACCGTACGTTGACTTCAATGGTACTTATAACAGCATCATGTTGTTTTTTCACAGATATATCATTCTCCACACAGTTAATCCAAATCTTTCTCGGTCTTCCACTATCTACCCACTATCCACTAACACTTTACACGGTCGAACGACATTTATACTCATCACTCTTCTAGTCACATGACTTTCAGCACTTCTCATAACGTGCTCATACCGCGTCACGCCTAATTTTCTCTGTTATTGGTGCCAGTTAGAACATAAAATATTTTTTAATATGCTCAAATTTTAGCTTTCCCTAATATACTCATAATAATAATAATAATAATACTCATTCCGAGGTCTTGCCTTTCTGGTCACACCATGTATACATATCAACAATCGCATCTCTGTCACATGCATTTTTCTTTCATTTGCATCTCTTTTGCTGCTTACTCAGATCAATAAGTCATGACAGGTATAACCACCATTTTGTAAATCTTCCCTTCGAGCTTCATTGTCCTGGACCTGTCCCTATCAATTTCTTCTTCTTCTTCTATTCAAACGAAATCTAAGAAGAGGTGAATAGTGTCACTTTCCGACATTATCAGTATTACAGCTAGTGCATGAAGATTCACTTACTTATTGCCAACAATTGGACGCTCTTCATGCTGATTTTTGGAGAGACTTCAGTATATTTTAAATATGAAGATATTAAGAATATGTACAGCAGATTCAACAAGTTCTGCGTAAAGGATGAAAAGTAAAATTCAAAAATTCACAACCAAGAGCTCTGGCTCAAAAGTCAATACCAGCTCGTCACTGCATGAATGAAGAGAATATTAAATGGGTTTGTCTCATCATATGAGTGTGGGTTCAATGCAGCGTGATGATTTGCAAAATATGTTAACTAAACTGAAACCCGACATTAACAAATTGTTAAAACTACCCACCATAAGCATTTCATGGATATTTATGTTTGTTACTGAATTTTGCTTTTAAATTATATTTTTTTTACTAATTTTGATTAACTGTCTTTTCTTTGCCTCTGTTTGTGTATGTTTGAGTTTGCATTTGTTGGTTAAGTTATCATTTTGTTCTAACGCTTTGTGTGGTCTTTATCTGAATTATATTTTATTTTTAATTAATTAATAATCACGACGCTCTGCATGACCACCAGGAGAGAGCGAGGGACAGAGTGAATTAAGTTTTATTTTGTGATTATTAATAGACAATAAACAGACATATAAATTGGTTTAAGTAATTAACTATTACGTAAATAGGGTCTTTGTTTAACGGTTGACCACGTGATTCATTAAGTCATAGCGAAACAGGCATTAAAAGCCTATAGAAAAGTTTTAAACTGGAATCAATAATTTAGATGGGATATAAAGCGGATATAAAGCGTTTTCAACTTGGTCACAATCGTTAATGCTACCGGTAAAACTACAATGCGTCACAACTTTTGACGTTTTTATTGACCGTTATTACCGACCTTATTACCGTTCTAGATTCGGTGGCATCGTTACTAAGCTATTGGCTTCGTCATCGCAGGTCGTGGGTCGCCGATTTCCACCCTGGACAAGTATTTGCATGATCCACAGACAATTGTTCCGGATCCGGGTGTTTGTTTCCCAAGGAGGGTACACGTCAGGCAAGCGGCTGATAAACATAGCCAAAACCGCTTACAACATTATTCATATGTTGTGCACCCCACCTTGGTGGAATAAGGTCAGGAGGAAAATTACGATTATCGTTCTAGCTTTAATCTGTGTCATTTTATTCGCGTGATAAAATTTAACTTAATGGGCCAGTTCGTACCGTGAAATACCACGACCGCAAGAAAGACTATTATAAAGTACAAGTTTTCATCCTTTTACATTTCACCTGCTAAATGAGGTAACTGGGGCGCTAGAAAGGTTAACAAAGAATCTGTTATCCCAGTGTAATTGTGGCAGGGCATAGCAGTAATAACTGAACATGAGGTGACCCACCTGCTCGATTTCACATTCTTCTATTAAAAAAATAGTTTAGAACGAAATCTAGGTAAAAAACGGGGTAGGCAGAACACACAAACTCTGTTTAGTTTAGTTTATTCAAAAATAAATTATCTCCATATTTCTGTGCGTACTGTAGAAAATTAAAATATGTTTCGTTTTACTCCTTAACCATGAACTGGAAAATATGGTGTCCAATAATTCCTCTCCAGTAGTCCGTATATCGGCACTCGCAACGCTATGGACTTACGCACACCTGGAAAAAAGGGAAATTTTTAAATATTATATTATACAAAATGTTACGTCATTTTTATCAGTAACAGTCGCACACATAGACTTTGTAAACATATCGGAATACAAACGAATACGTGTGCTGGTTTTATATGCAGTAGATGTTTCAATAAAATGTACAATTCTTATGCCTGTACCAAATTCATCGTGATAATATTGATGCAAGAAAACTTCAACTTCGACCAATGCCGAAAGTACACGGCCACACACTAATAATCGCTAATCACGATAGTGACAACACACATTTTACGGCGGAGGGTAGTAATTTGTTTTTTTTTTTTTTTAAATTAAAAATAAGAAATAGCACTGAAGAGGCGAAAATGAATGAGAATTGTTTAAATCTTGCGTATCATATACAATTACCGAATCTCTTATTTTTCGTCGGTTGTACAATCACAGCTTAGTTGTTTTTATTTTATATCTATGATGAAATGATATTCTTCTTCTTGCCTCTTTGTACATTAATATTTGCAGCCTTGTAATTGCGATATATAATATATAAAACCTCTTTATTCTGGTGTGCATTATCGAAAACACGTCGCAGTACTAAATACAAGTGCCGAGACGTCCGGTACGCACGATGTTTGTGCGTCAATTGAAGTGTGGTCACGCAAGCGGAATTAAGAACAATAAAGTCATTTAATGTGGGAGTGTATACTATCAGAAGAATGATGTGCCAGCGGCCTCACCCGAGGAGCCTAATATACTCGCGATATGTGGCTACATACATACATCACAATAAGAATAAAGTTCGCTTTATTGCTATGAGTGCGTACAAGGCCTTATTTTTTCGTATCTTTTTTATGTGTCCCTTAAAAAGCTAATAACAATTATAAATCAATTGCTGTAGCGTGTTTTGATTTTTTTTATTCACTATAAAAAACATAGAAAATCATGAGTTGTAGATTTTGCGGTTTAAAACATTGTACAAATAAAGGATGCATACTTACATGTATATAAGGATCGAATTCATAGTTGTATGGGCATTTGAAAAGGTATCTAGTTCCAAGCACGCAATAGTAGAACGAACTAGTATTTTCGGGGTTCACTAGAGTGTAATACCTATAAGGAAGGCATGGTGCAAGAGTGGTAGTTGGCGAGGTAACGGTGGTTGTTTGGGGCGGTAGGGTCGAAATCTTAACGGTTGGCATTGGTGGTAAAGGAGATGGAGATTGTGATATTGATATGGGTGGCAATGGACTTCCATCCGTTACATATGTTGTTGATGCAGTATTTAGTGTTGTTCGCATAGTGATAGGAGTGGTGTCTACAGGACTCGTTGATGTAGTTGGTGGTACTGTGACGTGTGTGGTTCGATTTGGCGGCAATGTCAGATCTGTTGGTTGCGAAGGAGTTGCGTTCGTAATCGGAGATAGAGAACTAGGGTTAATATCTGTCGTTGATACGCTAATAGTAAAAGGGGACGTAGTTGAGGTTCTTTCGGAAGAGGTTGGCGTCACGTTAGTCGTTACACTGGCAGTAGAAGCAGTTCTTATGGGAGTAGTTTCTATGAGTGGGGATGTCGTTACGTAACTAGTTAAAACCGTTGTAGTTGTCGATGATGGTAGAGTAACGTTCGTAATAGGGGAAAGTGAGCTCGGTTCGACCGGTGAAGTCGTTTCGGAAACATCAGTCTCAGAACCATCTGTTGTTGATTCGCTTAAAATGAGCGGGGTTGAAGCGTCTTCGCTAGAAGTTGGCGTAATGCTTGCCTGTGAAGATGACAGCGGCGTCCGCGTTGTTGAAACTCGTTGAGTGAACGTACTTGGTTCTGTTTCAAGAGTCGTACTTTGAGTAGTAGAGATAGGACCAATTGATGTAGGCATTATGTTAGTAGTAGAAGTGATTTCGGAGGGCAAAGTAAATATGGTCGATGGTACTGTGCTGAGCGTACTTGAAATTGGCGGCAACGTGGGGGCTGTTGGCGGTTGATGCGTTGCGTTTGTAATAGGGGAAAGTGAGCTCGGTTCGACCGGTGAAGTCGTTTCAGAAACATCAGTCTCAGAACCATCTGTTGTTGATTCGCTTAAAATGAGCGGGGTTGAAGCGTCTTCGCTAGAAGTTGGCGTAATGCTTGCCTGTGAAGATGACAGCGGCGTCCGCGTTGTTGAAACTCGTTGAGTGAACGTACTTGGTTCTGTTTCAAGAGTCGTACTTTGAGTAGTAGAGATAGGACCAATTGATGTAGGCATTATGTTAGTAGTAGAAGTGATTTCGGAGGGCAAAGTAAATATGGTCGATGGTACTGTGCTGAGCGTACTTGAAATTGGCGGCAACGTGGGGGCTGTTGGCGGTTTTTGCGTTGCGTTTGTAATCGGGGGTAGTGAGCTCGGTTCGACCGGTGAAGTCGTTTCAGAAACATCAGTCTCAGAAACATCTGTTGTTGATTCGCTTAAAATGAGCGGGGTTGAAGCGTCTTCGCTAGAAGTTGGCGTAATGCTTGCCTGTGAAGATGACAGCGGCGTACTCGTTGTTGAAACTCGTTGAGTGAACGTACTTGGTTCTGTTTCAAGAGTCGTACTTTGAGTAGTAGAGATAGGACCAATTGATGTAGGCATCATGTTAGTAGTAGAAGTGATTTCGGAGGGCAAAGTAAATATGGTCGATGGTACTGTGCTGAGCGTACTTGAAATTGGCGGCAACGTGGGGGCTGTTGGCGGTTTTTGCGTTGCGTTTGTAATCGGGGGTAGTGAGCTCGGTTCGACCGGTGAAGTCGTTTCGGAAACATCGGTCTCAGAACCATCTGTTGTTGATTCGCTTAAAATGAGCGGGGTTGAAGCGTCTTCGCTAGAAGTTGGCGTAATGCTTGCCTGTGAAGATGACAGCGGCGTACTCGTTGTTGAAACTCGTTGAGTGAACGTACTTGGTTCTGTTCCAAGAGTCGTACTTTGAGTAGTAGAGATAGGACCATTGATGTAGGCATTATGTTAGTAGTAGAAGTGATTTCGGAGGGCAAAGTAAATATGGTCGATGGTACTGTGCTGAGCGTACTTGAAATTGGCGGCAACGTGGGGGCTGTTGGCGGTTTTTGCGTTGCGTTTGTAATCGGGGTAGTGAGCTCGGTTCGACCGGTGAAGTCGTTTCGGAAACATCAGTCTCAGAACCATCTGTTGTTGATTCGCTTAAAATGAGCGGGGTTGAAGCGTCTTCGCTAGAAGTTGGCGTAATGCTTGCCTGTGAAGATGATAGCGGCGTACTCGTTGTTGAAACTCGTTGAGTGAACGTACTTGGTTCTGTTTCAAGAGTCGTACTTTGAGTAGTAGAGATAGGACCAATTGATGTAGGCATTATGTTAGTAGTAGAAGTGATTTCGGAGGGCAAAGTAAATATGGTCGATGGTACTGTGCTGAGCGTACTTGAAATTGGCGGCAACGTGGGGGCTGTTGGCGGTTGTTGCGTTGCGTTTGTAATAGGGGAAAGTGAGCTCGGTTCGACCGGTGAAGTCGTTTCGGAAACATCAGTCTCAGAACCAGCTGTTGTTGATTCGCTTAAAATGAGCGGCGTAGAAGCTTCTTCGGTAGAAGTTGGCGTAATGCTTGCCTGTGAAGATGACAGCGGCGTACGCGTTGTTGAAACTCGTTGAGTGAACGTACTTGGTTCTGTTTCAAGAGTCGTACTTTGAGTAGTAGAGATAGGACCAATTGATGTAGGCATTATGTTAGTAGTAGAAGTGATTTCGGAGGGCAAAGTAAATATGGTCGATGTTACTGTGCTGAGCGTACTTGAAATTGGCGGCAACGTGGGGGCTGTTGGCGGTTGTTGCGTTGCGTTTGTAATAGGGGAAAGTGAGCTCGGTTCGACCGGTGAAGTCGTTTCGGAAACATCAGTCTCAGAACCCTCTGTTGTTGATTCGCTTAAAATGGGCGGGGTTGAAGCTTCTTCAACAGAAGTTAGCGTAATGCTTGCCTGTGAAGATGACAGCGGCGTACGCGTTGTTGAAACTCGTTGAGTGAACGTACTTGGTTCTGTTTCAAGAGTCGTACTTTGAGTAGTAGAGATAGGACCAATTGATGTAGGCATTATGTTAGTAGTAGAAGTGATTTCGGAGGGCAAAGTAAATATGGTCGATGGTTACTGTGCTGAGCGTACTTGAAATTGGCGGCAACGTGGGGGCTGTTGGCGGTTTTTGCGTTGCGTTTGTAATAGGGGAAGTGAGCTCGGTTCGACCGGTGAAGTCGTTTCGGAAACATCAGTCTCAGAACCATCTGTTGTTGATTCGCTTAAAATGAGCGGGGTTGAAGCGTCTTCGCTAGAAGTTGGCGTAATGCTTGCCTGTGAAGATAACAGCGGCGTACTCGTTGTTGAAACTCGTTGAGTGAACGTACTTGGTTCTGTTTCAAGAGTCGTACTTTGAGTAGTAGAGATAGGACCAATTGATGTAGGCATTATGTTAGTAGTAGAAGTGATTTCGGAGGGCAAAGTAAATATGGTCGATGGTACTGTGCTGAGCGTACTTGAAATTGGCGGCAACGTGGGGGCTGTTGGCGGTTTTTGCGTTGCGTTTGTAATCGGGGGTAGTGAGCTCGGTTCGACCGGTGAAGTCGTTTCGGAAACATCAGTCTCAGAACCATCTGTTGTTGATTCGCTTAAAATGAGCGGGGTTGAAGCGTCTTCGCTAGAAGTTGGCGTAATGCTTGCCTGTGAAGATGACAGCGGCGTACTCGTTGTTGAAACTCGTTGAGTGAACGTACTTGGTTCTGTTTCAAGAGTAGTACTTTGAGTAGTAGAGATAGGATCAATTGATGTAGGCATCATGTTAGTAGTAGAAGTGATTTCGGAGGGCAAAGTAAATATGGTCGATGGTACTGTGCTGAGCGTACTTGAAATTGGCGGCAACGTGGGGGCTGTTGGCGGTTTTTGCGTTGCGTTTGTAATCGGGGGTAGTGAGCTCGGTTCGACCGGTGAAGTCGTTTCGGAAACATCAGTCTCAGAACCATCTGTTGTTGATTCGCTTAAAATGAGCGGGGTTGAAGCGTCTTCGCTAGAAGTTGGCGTAATGCTTGCCTGTGAAGATGACAGCGGCGTACTCGTTGTTGAAACTCGTTGAGTGAACGTACTTGATTCTGTTTCAAGAGTCGTACTTTGAGTAGTAGAGATAGGACCATTTGATGTAGGCATTATGTTAGTAGTAGAAGTGATTTCGGAGGGCAAAGTAAATATGGTCGATGGCACTGTGCTGAGCGTACTTGAAATTGGCGGCAACGTGGGGGCTGTTGGCGGTTTTTGCGTTGCGTTTGTAATCGGGGGTAGTGAGCTCGGTTCGACCGGTGAAGTCGTTTCGGAAACATCAGTCTCAGAACCATCTGTTGTTGATTCGCTTAAAATGAGCGGGGTTGAAGCGTCTTCGCTAGAAGTTGGCGTAATGCTTGCCTGTGAAGATGACAGCGGCGTACGCGTTGTTGAAACTCGTTGAGTGAACGTACTTGGTTCTGTTTCAAGAGTAGTACTTTGAGTAGTAGAGATAGGATCAATTGATGTAGGCATTATGTTAGTAGTAGAAGTGATTTCGGAGGGCAAAGTAAATATGGTCGATGGTACTGTGCTGAGCGTACTTGAAATTGGCGGCAACGTGGGGGCTGTTGGCGGTTTTTGCGTTGCGTTTGTAATAGGGGGGGAGTGAGCTCGGTTCGACCGGTGAAGTCGTTTCGAAAACATCAGTCTCAGAACCATCTGATGTTGATTCGCTTAAAATGAGCGGGGTTAGAAGCGTCTTCGCTAGAAGTTGGCGTAATGCTTGCCTGTGAAGATGACAGCGGCGTACTCGTTGTTGAAACTCGTTGAGTGAACGTACTTGATTCTGTTTCAAGAGTAGTACTTTGAGTAGTAGAGATAGGATCAATTGATGTAGGCATTATGTTAGTAGTAGAAGTGATTTCGGAGGGCAAAGTAAATATGGTCGATGGCACTGTGCTGAGCGTACTTGAAATTGGCGGCAACGTGGGGGCTGTTGGCGGTTTTTGCGTTGCGTTTGTAATCGGGGGTAGTGAGCTCGGTTCGACCGGTGAAGTCGTTTCGGAAACATCAGTCTCAGAACCATCTGTTGTTGATTCGCTTAAAATGAGCGGGGTTGAAGCGTCTTCGCTAGAAGTTGGCGTAATACTTGCCTGTGAAGATGACAGCGGCGTACTCGTTGTTGAAACTCGTTGAGTGAACGTACTTGATTCTGTTTCAAGAGTCGTACTTTGAGTAGTAGAGATAGGACCATTTGATGTAGGCATTATGTTAGTAGTAGAAGTGATTTCGGAGGGCAAAGTAAATATGGTCGATGGCACTGTGCTGAGCGTACTTGAAATTGGCGGCAACGTGGGGGCTGTTGGCGGTTTTTGCGTTGCGTTTGTAATCGGGGGTAGTGAGCTCGGTTCGACCGGTGAAGTCGTTTCGGAAACATCAGTCTCAGAACCATCTGTTGTTGATTCGCTTAAAATGAGCGGGGTTGAAGCGTCTTCGCTAGAAGTTGGCGTAATGCTTGCCTGTGAAGATGACAGCGGCGTACGCGTTGTTGAAACTCGTTGAGTGAACGTACTTGGTTCTGTTTCAAGAGTAGTACTTTGAGTAGTAGAGATAGGATCAATTGATGTAGGTATTATGTTAGTAGTAGAAGTGATTTGGGAGGGCAAAGTAAATATGGTCGATGGTACTGTGCTGAGCGTACTTGAAATTGGTGGCAACGTGGGGGCTGTTGGCGGTTTTTGCGTTGCGTTTGTAATAGGGGAAAGTGAGCTCGGTTCGACCGGTGAAGTCGTTTCGGAAACATCAGTCTCAGAACCATCTGTTGTTGATTCGCTTAAAATGAGCGGGGTTGAAGCGTCTTCGCTAGAAGTTGGCGTAATGCTTGCCTGTGTTGTTGAAATTCGTTGTGTGAGAGTACTTGGTTCTGTTTCAAGCGTCGTACTTGATGTAGATGAGATAGGAACAGGAGATAATGTTTTTGTTGATGTAATACTATCGGTCCACAGAGTTGTTGGCGATGTCATATCATCAAAAGTTTCTGAAGAAAGTGTGACAGTTGTTTTACTTAAAGGAGTCGTGAAAGATGTTACATTTGAAATGGTCGAGATACTTGAACTGGTGGGGGATGTATTAACGGGCTTAGTTTTTTCGCCAGGAATAGTTGTTAAACTCTCAGTAGTTTCTGGGTTAGAAGACCTTGTTTGTTCAGAACTTGACATAGCCGGAGTAGTGATATATGTTACTGAAGCAGAGCTTGTATCTAATGGAGTTTCTTTAGTCGTTAATAGATCATTAGCTGTGCTTGAGCTAGTGGAAAGCGTTATTGTTGAGGTGTCTTCAGATGTCGTGACTACACTACGTGAAGTACTGATTGACGTCGTTGTGTCGACACGATTAGGCGTCGTGCTTTCAGAGGAGTTACTTTTGGGGGATGGTTCAGATGTGGGAATGGGGGGCAATGCCGATGGTTCAACGTCCGTAGTAGTGGAACTTTCTGTTGTTGGTATTGGCGGTAGAGACTGCCAGGTTCCGGTTGACGTTGAGGCTGTAGTAATCGGCGGCAGTGTTTCATAACTTGTACTTGACGGCGTTGTTGTTGGGCTCGGTGTTGTTGATTGATACGGCAAAGGTACTGGTGTAGTTGTCAATGAACGCTTAGGAGCACAATGAGCCAACGAGTGTAGAATACAACTCTGAAAATAAGAATTGATCATTTATCTAAAATGCCACTCATCACAATTAAGGTATAACAATGTAAAGTAAAAGAAAGAGAACCCAAGTTTATACTATTATATATATAAATATTGCCAAGAAGTGCCAAGACTTTTCACAATAACGAAATTTAATGAATCATGATAGAAATACTGTATAGATACATACATAAATACAAATAAAAATGCATATATATTCTCACACATACACTATATAAACATCAACGTAGTCTTGGTGAGATACAGCGGTGATAAACCTTATTTGCTAAGCCCTGTAGTTGAAATTAATGTTATCAGTATTGAAGATCATTATGAATTTTATAAGTTTAATATTTTTTTTAAAAACGTTATTTTTTCCTTTTTTTCTATTTAAGTGACTTATTCATATGGTTCCTAATTTAAATGTTATTAATGTGAAATTGCAGAGAAATTAAAATTAAAAATTGAAACAATGAGAATTTTTAATCGTTTAACATCATATTAAATGAATGCGCGTGGGATCTGCCTATCCCAAGAGTTTTGAGCTAGGTGAACTGGTCTACAGACTGAAAACGAAAACATGAAATAAAGTATTGTGTTGAATTGCCTATAAAGGTAAAATAGTAAGATTGAGTGTGAGTAACTCAACGATTTTTTTTTTATGTGAAAAAGTGGCAAACGAACTGGCGGTTCACCTGATGTTAAGTAATAACCGCCGCCCATGGACATTTTAAACACCCGTAGGGTTGCAAATCCGTTGCCACCTTTAAATACGGTGGGCCCCGGATACCTCACTCACCAGACGAAACGCAAAGTGTAACACTTCTACTTTACGCCGGTCTTCTGTGAGGTCGTGATTACCCGGACGGACCTGCCCATTCGTGCAAGAATGAAAACTGTTGCGTGGTCCTACCACAGTTTGATTACGATTGTATGAAGTGTTGAACGACATGAACTATTATACTATTTAATCTTTGTTTAAATCAGCGATTATAGATATATATCTCGTTAGAATAATAATTTTCGAAACTTTCTGTTACGGCTTATTTTTCTTTGGCGACTTGTTTTAATTCTTGTTTTCAAGTTAAAATTTGACTTTAGTTTTTTTATTTAATCCTACCGACATCGCTATGTTCGAGGAGCGTGTTTTGTTAATGGGACACGGTTATGAAATGCACGACTGAACCAAGACTGAACTTAATTAAATTTTCTTTTAGTTTATTACAGTTACAGTTTCTTTAGGATAGTTTAGAGGGTATTTAGAGCAGAAGCTATCGAGAGCCGCTTCCAAAGAGGGGAAATAGTCAAAACAAACGGATAGTATACTACACCTTCAACTACACCATTATCATCTCATTCAACACACAAGTACTCTGAGGAGCCAAAGTATTGGGAAGTTGACATATATTTATGAATAATTTTATGCGGTATTCATGCATGTTAATAAATAGGCATCCCCATCGATTAAATATTCATTAATTTACTCGAATACTTCTATGATAGGTACTGTAGGTTATTCAGACAACCTGTTCGCTTGCTGACTCGCATGTTCGTCAATGTCGTGCTTGGCTTGGCGCTGTTGAAAAGCAAAGAAAACGACAAAAAAATCGGCCAAGTGCGAGTCGGATTCGCGCACGAAGGGTTCCGTACCATTCTCTTCCGTTCCATCTATAAAAACACCAAGAAAATCATGGCTGTTGTATGGAAGCCCCATTCAAAAATTTTTTACCCTGTTTTTTAGAATTTGTTGTTATAGCGGCAGCAGAAATACATCATCTGTGAAAATTTCAACTGTCTAACTATCACGGTTCATGAGATGGTGATAGACTGACAGACAGACAGACAGTGGAGTCTTAGTCATAGGGTCCCTTTTTACCCTTTGGGTACGGAACCCTAAAAAGGCTACGCTGCTAGCTGAACAAAGGTATTAAATCATCGAGGATAAAATCATGAATCACGAAAGCAGTCACATTTTTCCTCAATTATTCCATGATGACGCCACGCCGCACAATTGTAAATTACTTTTGATGCGTTGAAATTACGTTTGGCCACGATGCATGATTAACAGTATAAATAAATATCTCAAGGTCTGTTGCCCGCGTAAATGCTAGCATTTATAAGCTGTCAATCTAATATATCATATCAATCATAATATTCTTAATGCATCATTAGAGTAATTACTTACATCTAATATTGAACCAATCACGTCATCACCATGTCTATCAGACAGATTTCTACATTATGTACGTATTTAAGTCATCGAGCTTTTCGGTTCCAAACATTATTAATGTTAAGCGTTGTCCCTGTCACCACAAATATTATGAAAGTGACTCACTTAAGAAATGTGTAATGAAAATTACGTAGGCGTCCTCCACTTGGATTAGAGCCTGCAAGCTCACGATAAGTCCAAAAACAGTCACTGAGCACTGATGACTCGGTTGCCCTGGTTTACTTAACGCAACGTACACGCGTACAACATTTTATAACATCTTTTTAAGATGAAGCAGAATTTAATCGCTACATTTTCGTACTTTTTTATTTCGAGACAGGTGTAGCCAAATAGCGTGTCAGAATATATAATTCTTTACTGTAATAAATTTTTAGTAAAGAAGTTGACTATTTGAAAATTGTTTTGGTTTGATATATTTGTTTCCTTTAAACGATACGAACTAAGGAAACGTGAACGTAGAGTTCTCGTCGTCGTCGATCACGTCGTTTGATCTTTTCTCTGTTTTCCACGAATTGAGAAAGGTTATCTTTTTACCCGACTTCGCCAGAAGGAGGGTTATGTTTTTAAAGAGTATGTATGTATGTATGCATAATTCTTTGGCATGCTCTGCAGCCTGAACGGTTTGATGGATTTTAGCTTGAGAGGTGTTGTTAGATTCGTATTTATTGTGAGAGTAACACTGGGTATATCAAAACAAAAATTACACAGGAGCACAGTCTCCTTGTTCAGCTTTTTAAATTATATTCTACTTGGTTTTTTATTTGACAAAGTGGCAAACGAGCTGGCGGTTGACCTGATATTAAGCCAATTTGCCAATTCTTTCCCACTTTTTGATAAAGTGGGCCCCGGTTACCTCACTCACCAGACGAAACGTAGAATTATAACACTTTTTCTTCACGCCGCTCTCTGTGTATTGGTGCTGACCCGTACATTCGTGCGACAGCGAGGACTGTTGCGTGGCCTAACCACGGTTATCTAATTTTTACAAGTAATTAAAATTTAATGCTATCCTTTTTTCTTTCAAGTGGCAACTTAAATAGTCTGTGTAGTTGCCTCTCGTCCTTCGCAACAAATCAAAAGACTGTCTATGGAAAATGGCCACCACCGCCCTTAGACAAATGAAACACCAGAGAAGCGGGTTCGTTTCGTTCTATGAAAGATAACGTCTGTATTTTAAAGGTTGTATCTCCCACCGGTTGAAGGTGTTACATTTCACGCCCATTATCATTTTGGTATACATGTCTTATCTATGTCATCACGCCGTTCCTCTGCGATGGTGTATATTTTGATGATCAATTAATCTCCTTACCCTGATGATCACGTCAAAGTAGAGGTCACCGGGACAGGTGAGAACCGAAGGCCGCTCCTCCTCGCATATCACGAACTTCTTGCAGGACTCTGGGTGCGCGATGACGGCAGATTGGAGACCCTTGCATATGTTCCCCAGGGCTTCGGGGATAAGTGCCAGGAGAAGAAACGCTAGCTCTGCGAATAGGAACGGGCATTTTGTGAAATCAAATCTATAATACCTCCCCTGCGTTGGATCGAGTCGGCTCAACACAGAAGACCGTCGTGAATTTGAAGTATGATACTTCTGCGTTTCGTCTGGTGAGTGAGGTAGCTGAGGCCTACTTATTTTAAGAGTTGTCAAACCATCTGCTAGCCCTCAGGTGTTGTATATGTCCAGGGGCGGCGGTAATCATTTACTCTACGAACTTATGTATAAATTATTTACGCAAATTCGACGTTTCATAAAAACGCGCAAGCATCTATTTGAATAAAGATATTTTGAATTGAATTGATTTAACATCTTGACAAATTTCACATAAAAAATGACTATACCTAAAACACTTTCTTAATTAACTGTTAAAAGAGCTTCAGGCTTTGATTTTTCCTCTCGAATTTTCATGTTGTGGTCATAGGCGTATATAGCGGGCCGGGTGGGCCGTGCCCACCCCAGTATGGTCTAGTGCCCATCCCAGGATTTTGGGTTACTGATTCGAAATTCTAGGCTGGACACCTATTCTTCATCGCCAAAAGCAGGCCGAGCCAGGCGACCGAGGTGCAATGTAGATATTGAAATTCTCGTAATTTCCCTACTATAATAAGCATATATACTTTTTTTTATTTGTTTTTTAAAACCTTGCCCTCACTTTAGGATAATTTCTTATCCTGTGTTGTAAGGACGTTTTACAAACATAAATTGCACTAGGACAAACATACAGATGCGAAACAACTATCTGTGAGTCGCACAAATAGCTGTTCCGTGCGGGAATCGGACCCACCACTTCCGACGCCGAAGCCAATACCTTGACAACTGCGCCACGAAGTCATCAGTAAACATGTAAACCTTCCACTTGAATAATATCTATTGCTAAAAATCGCATTGCTGAAATTCGTTGCGTTGTTTAACAGTTCTACAGTGTTCGATTTTTTTTTTGTAGTAAATGCCCAGGCCCACCCTGAAAAATAGCCCTAGATACGCCAATGGTTGTGCTTGCAGGAAGGACTGAGGTATTTGACAGCTTTATTTCATTATTAATCCGGATATTTTAATGCTTGAAATCGATTAAATTTCATCCGATTGATGCAGAAAGTGATAAATATATTTTAACAGTCTTATAATGGTTGTGAAGTCGTCTCTGGATTTTCATTTATTTTTAATGACCTCTGGTTCAACCAAAATATCTTCTCTATTGAAATTTGGAAGTCTATTTTTAACTATTTGATAGCCTCGTGAGCCATGTTTGGCAGGAAACTGTTCGACAGTCAGAATTTTTATACGAAAATGGATGTAATCCTTGGGGTTCTTAAAAAAGTTCTCGCAGGCTAGTAATCTAACGAATAATGCCGTTATTTTGATAAATTTCTTCAATATTTTGCATTTTCAAATCTTCATGCGAACATCGATAAAATAAACGGCTATATCTCATGAGAATATGCAAATATAAAGTAGATACATTTTCCACGCATTGTGATGTACTTATTGTTCATATTTGTATATTATTATTACCAATAAAAAAAATATCATCGAGACTTACCCATTCCTCCGCATGGGTCTCGCAAATCTACTCCTGCATGAAATGGAACACACCGACACAAAGAATCGGCCCACCTCAAATAATTATTAAAGTAAATCTTAAATAGCTAATTACCATGGTAATTGATTATGAAATAGAATTGATTTGCTATGACTTTTTACTTATAATAAGCTGCGCTCGTACGGTGATATAAAACTTGTTATTTTTTTTCTAATTCGCCATAAACATACGTCATTTCACATGCACGTATCCTTCTGGAAGTTTCCCAAATATGGTGGCTATTACCTACATTTTTGGCACGTTTAATTTACGCGGCAAATATAGCTTAAATGCACCAGAGTGAAGTTAGGTCCATGAGTTCAGCGAAAGAATTGTCAAAAGTAAAGTCCCCTGAATACTATGATCAACTTCAACGGCGCATAGATGTTTTGTCCCTATATCAATGACCAGGCCTCACAATTTATGGAGAGCAGACAAATATTATTCATGAGATTTGCAGGCATACCATCATTTGAGATCGAATAAGGTTAAAAGAATATGAATAGGCCATGAATTTCATACGGTATGGATTATGGCTGTTTTTGTGGAGACTAATTTGCTAAGGTAGTCTATAAATGAGACTCCGTTGAGATTTTTTAATAACTTTACATCCATGCAAATGGTACGGTACCCATACTATTTTTGTATTTCATAAGGGTAGTGGAAAGGAGTTTCCATTTGTGTTAAATACCCAGCACTAGTGGAATCACGTACGTCGAGTCCTATACGCTTCTCACGTGGTCGGACAGACTAAGGTACTGGCAACTGGCTCAGCCCCTTAACTAGGGAATTATGGTCTTATTACAGTTTAGATAGTATGGTTATGACTTTACGTCATCCTATACAATGAAAGTTAACTTCGGTAGGTATCAATCGGCTAAGAAAGATGTTGACTAATATTAACATCGATTGATGTTAATGCTAGCCCACTATTAAAGGTTAACGCCAAATTGTTAACGTGACGTCAACTAACAATGAAGTTCTTATGACGACGAGTGCATCATTGCTAAATGAACGTGTGTCCGTTCATTAAGTTTAAGCGTCGATGGCGAATTAATTTTCGTGTAATCTTTAATTGACGATATATTGTAATATTATTATTCATTAAAATTTGTAGAAAAAGTACGAAAAGATTGTCGTCGCTGTGGGAATCGAACCCACGTCTTCGGCATTCGCGGCCTGGCGCTTTGGCTAAAGCTAAACGCCTGATTGTCACAACGACGAAAATCTTAATGTCTTCTACATTGTTTTTTAGCATTAGAAGCAATGCTTGGCGCATCCATTGTTATATCCTTTCCAGCATACTATATATATATATCGTTTTACAACGATAATTGGTACGAGAGATGTTCCCATTGCTTTTTAAAAAAAATTACGTCCAGACAGAGATCGTTGGGTTTAAATATGCCCTTTCGCGCGGGGCCCGTAGCAATTGCTAATCTTGCTATGCGGTCAATCCGGCACTGCCGTGACCCGACGAGTCCGGTATTTGCAAAGTTCCTCATGGGAGCGTCTGCGCAGGAGAGTTCAACACTTTTAAAGAAAACAACGGCCAGATAAAAATGATTTATTTCAACATTCGTCAGTCGCCGTCGTCATCAGTATCGCTGTCCGCCATTGCTTCCCTGCTCTTGAGCTTCGCTTCCAGCTCCTTGGCGGGGTTGAACATGCCGCTGGTCTGCGTGTTGCAAATGTAGCAACGTGTCGACTTCTTGTAGTTCTGCAGGGCGCATTTCTCGCAGAAGTAGTGCTTGCATCTGAAACGAGAAACGCGATGTGGCATTTTTTATAGAAAAAAGGGGCAAACGAGTAAGCAGTGGAAATCAGCGCTGTGTTGGGTTTTGACTTCTGGCACAGCATAATGCTGAGCCGCTGACCTATGTAGATTTAGTTTTTTTGGTGTGTGCGTCCTATTTTATCTGGTAAATAAATTTATTTCCCTCTTTTCTTCCAATAACGGGGAAAGCCCGGACTGTTATTAGGCATGGGTAGACGTGGTCACGTATTGGCCACGTCTGTAGATACGTCGGAATGACGAGGAAAGGATCCAATCGCTGTTTACGGGGTGGTCGGTTTAAGTTGGCGAAATATGGTGTTGAGCGACATGGTCACACTGACCGGAAGATGTCCAATTTGTTTCTTTATGCGACAAGCTGGCAAGCGAGCTGGCGGTTCACCCGATATTAAGTGATAACCGCCGCACATGGATATTTGCGACAATGTGTTGCCACCGTTTAAATAATGTGGGCTCCGGATATCTCAGTCATCAGTTGATACGCAGAAGTGAAACACTTCCACTTCACGCGGGCCTTCTTTCTGTGTGGTGCCCAAACCCGTGGGTTCTGGCTAGCCCACCGGTTCCGCGTCAGATGAAGCTTTAATAGTCTCGGGACAACACACAAACATCAGTTAATACAAGATACAAGATCTTCTGTGAGGTTGTGGTGGCTCCCCGGACGGACCTGCCAATTCGTGCAACAGCGAAGACTGTTGCGTGGCCCTACCACAGTTGAAACGGTACCGGACAATCTTACTAATATTATAAACGCGAAAGTTTGTATGTATGGATGGATGTTTGATACTCTTACAAGCGAATACTAATGGAATTTATTTTAATGAAACTTTACAATAATATTGCTTATACATCAGAATAACACATAGGCTATATTTTATAAAGATATTATGTGAATTGTCCGAAATAAGTGTCAATTAAGTAGGAAAAAATTCAGCCATCTGCGAGATATTCTGGTGTAAGATAAAAAAACTCATTGTTAATTTCCTTTGGCTGCGCGTGCGTAGTCGCGGTTAACAGCTAGTATTATATATTTTTACTATAAACGTAGCATGTCGCCCCAGGGCTGGTGACGCTCTAAAGCTCAACACCAGGGAATCGATTATTAGAAAATGTATTACAAAACTAGCTGGTGCCCGCGCCTAGGTCTGTCATCAATAGGCTGAAGGGGTAAAGTTCAGACAGAAAGAGAGATATATATAAAAATATGTATATAAATTATAGTCTATGTGTTATGCTGAAGTGTTAGCTATATTATTGTAAAATTTCATTAAAATCCATTCCAGTAGTATTTGCGTGAAAGAGTAATAAACATCCATCCATACATACAAACTTTCGCCTTTATAATATTAGATATAAAACATAACAATGACGTAAGCAAATGAGCAAAGTTTAAGAAACTAAGAAATAACAAACGATAACAAAAGAACAAAGCTAATTAATACGTAAATAACGTTGACCAATTATCAAAATTAATTGATCAATTTATATAATTTTAGATCCGTTCTCTCTAGGATTAATTGAGACGCCAAAATTATTTCGATGACTTTCAATTAATAATAGGAATTTTAAACTCTCAGTAATAGTGTCAAAGTTGTCTATTTGTTGACTTTTTTTTAATTGCCCTAAATAATTGTACATTTATGACCACTGAGGAGTTCAAATTTCATTGTTTGGACCGCTAAATAGATGGGGCCAGGGAACGGTCCTATTTTAATGGATAATAATTAGCTGTAACGTTATCTATTGCCACGGGTAATCATTTAAAATCAGGTTAATCCCCCAATCGTTTCACCTTTTCACATAAACAAATTTGTCTTGATAGCTCAGTATCCAGGCGGTCGCTTTTAATTTAATATTATCGAACAACTTGAGTTTCATTCCTGTGCCGGCACCATTGAAATTGTTAACTAATGAACAAATATTGGCGGACACATTTTTACACAACATTCTCCAAGTCCCAAACTAAGCAACGCTTGTACTATGGATAATAGAAAACTGATAAACTTACTCAAACATAGGTATTTTTCTTTAGTAAATATACATATTATATAAACACCGAGCCACTGGAAATGCAATTTTAGATGCAACGATAAAAGAAAACATCGATAAAAGAAAGCTGCATATTTTCGAGACAATAAAAAAAAACTTAAGTCTGCCAGTCTCCAGTAGGGCCGTGCGGTGTACTGTGCCCTAACACCCTCTGTGCAGAGGCCTTCGTCCAGCAGTGGCACAAGTAGCCGGTCGCTCTACGCGCAATTGATCACAACACGACAAATAAGTCTGCCAATCTGCAGTAGCGAAACGCTCACTTGGTCACAACTGGGTCGGTGAAGCTCTCGCGGCAAATGAAGCATTTGAAGGGCAGCTCCTCGTCGCTGTGGATCTCGTAGTCGGAGTCCCCGCCCCCCGCCCCCCTGTTCCCTCCCCCCTCCGCCTCCTCCCTCTCCAGCTGCCAGCCGTGCTTGTAGTCGGAACGGTCGTGCAGGAACTTGCAGGAGTCTGGACGGGACATAGTACGGAGGCTCAAGGGTAAAACCATATTGCTTACTTCAGTCTGTCCGTCAGTTACCAGGCTGTGTCTAATGAACCGTGATAGTTAGACAGTTGAAATTTTCACACTGTAGTGTATATGCAGAAATCACATACATACATAAATAGACATAACTTAATAAGTGTAGTATATATGCAGAAATAGTGTATATACTTAATTAGATATACATTAATTATAAACAAATAAGTATATATGTTGACTGTCGTCTCCGGCTGCGTACGCGCGAGGCACCAATAGGTGGAGGGTAGTAGTACCCTAGTGGTCACCAGTTCAGATCCGACCACAGTGGTGTGAAGACGTGTGCGCAAGCCAGCGAGCCGATATTTATTGTGACAAATTATTCGAAGTATTGATCGGTTATTAGTTCCCAGCACAAATAGATACACAAACAACACACTCATTATGTATTTCTGTTGCCGCTGTAACAACAAATGCTGAAGAACAGAACACAAAAATATTTAGGTGGGGGTTCCATACAACAGACATGATCTTTTTTTGCCGTTTTTATAGATAACGGTACGGAGCCCTTCGTTCGCGAGTCCGACTCGCAGTTGGCCAGTTTTTTTCAATTTTATGTGAGAAGGTGGCGAACAAGCAGTCAGTTCAACTGATGTTAAGTGATAACTGCCGCCAATTGACATGTGCACCCGTAGGGTTCTAGATGGGTTGCCAACATTTAATAAAGTGAGCCCCGGTTACCTCACTCACCAGGCGAAAGGCGGAAGTGTAACGATTCCACTTTACGCCGGTCTTCTGTGAGGTCGTAGTACTTACCCGGACAGACCTGCCCATTCCACGCAGCAGTTGTCAGTCTCTCTGTTGCAAGAATGGGCAGGATCATGCGGGGATGTAACAAGACAGTACACGACAGTATCCTACCACAGTTAATATTGTATAAACTCATATCATATACCTCCGAAGCCACAGAAGCCAGTTTCTTTGTAATCCTTGCATATGTCAGGTTGGTAGTCCCATCTGTGTTGTAAAAAAAAAAAAACAATATATCTTATGGCCGAGCCTGTAGTTCACAGAGGTAACTAAAGATCTTGAAAGTATTCAAAAACAAAAAAAAAATCGAAAGAAAAACACTCAACTGTAAAGAAAATAATTATGTACAGTGTAAACTCCATATAACAACACTTAATTTAACAACAGACTTTAAATTATTTGGATTTGGTTGGTTTACCTTTAAATCTATATATTGATAAACTCTATATTTATTTATTTATTTAGAAATTAAATAAAAATAAGAAATTAAATATACATCAACTATTCGTTAGTGTCATTACAATTATAAGCGCGCAATATTATGGTAGAAAAAAATTGTTAAAAAAAAAACAGCTGCTTGTTACAAAATCCAAAGGTGCAACGGAAGTTAATAATTTTAAATAAAATTGAGAATAAAAGCAACAGTAAAAAATACACTAATAAGACTATTTCAAGTTTTTACAAGTAAGCGGGGAGAACAAGAATTTTGCTATATAACATAATGCTCAATCTAAATGACAACAACAATACGGCAATATTAAGCAATAAGCAGTACTTTTTAAATTGTAAAATTAATTTGAATTTAGAATTTAAAATTAATTAGTAAAATTAATTAAAAATTAGTAAGAACTATAGATGTGTATGTTGTTTTGTTTGTTTCTGTCTTATTTCTTAATTATCTGAATCAGCTGATGTGCCAAAGATTCTCAGAAAATTGTTATATAGAGTTTACAGTGTATTTGAATATTAAATGATGTGAATGGAGGCTTACGGCTCTGAGGGAAAAAATCTCTAAGCTAGATCTACCAGTCATAGTCTTTAAATTATAAAAAATAGTGTACACATCTTGCAGCCATTTTAAAACTAAACAAATATATTACATGACAGTAATATCTTAGTACAAAAAACTTGAGATTTTTGGTGCCTGCTGTTGAAAACTAAGGAATTAATAATAACTAACAGGCCTAGTCTGCAGGGAAAAATATTTGCAATAATTAACACTTCAAGTGTTCCAGAAAAAATTATGCAGATACCTGACAGTAGCTCTCAAGTTGGCCGGTGCCCTTATAGGCCCTTTTCTCACCATACCCGAGCTGGCGTTTCCAGCGGCTGTGTCGCGCTTCTTGTAATACTGCGCATAGTTATTTATACCGCGGTATACCTGAAAAGATATGTACAAGATTGATGAGAAATTTGTACAATGCCCACTATCTTATCCAACTTAATAACTGGGGCAAGTCTTCCAAAAGAATTCTGTCTGATACTATAATTGTCATAGTCATACTAATAATTCCATAATATGTATATGGTTATAAATTTAGAATAGTCTAGTGAAGTATCTACCATAGACCAATCTAGGTAAAAACTAGAGTTTAATTCAGGGAGCTCATGCAATTTTTTGTATCAATATAACACAATAATTTAAAGATGCCACAAGAAAACATTTATAACAAGAATATTAATTCTTATTATAAGATTTTTCAAATAAGGGCACTTGGCCCAATGTATGTTCAATGAATGTCAAGAAAACAGGTAAAAATTTTTTTTTTTTCTAAAACAACTACAATAATGGAGCTTTCATACCACAATGCCTTTTTTAGGTTAAGTCTCGTCAGAACTAAATAAGAAGTGTTAGTTCTGAATTTTCTTTAATTAAAATTTTTGCTTTGACGATCAATTCTTTCATTTTTTTGATAGAGAAAGATAGCAGTTAGATGCTAACAATTTATAATTGTTCATCATTAAATGTAGCAATTTCTTGAACTTTGTTAACAAAATTGGAAAATTTTGGTGCATTTAATGTTACAGTACGCTAATATTAAAAAAACATATATGTTACTTTACCTTATCATCTGCTTGGCCCTGCAAATCCTCATTAATCTTCTGGGCCTTCTCAAAGATAGCTTGTGCATCTTTGTCCCTCTCAGTATCCAACTCATATGTGGCAGTTGCATTCTCCCTCTGCTGTTGTACTGATAGCGTTGTCCGTGACTTTGATATCTTAAATTGTGATTTATTCATCAAAATAAGTAATATTTAAGCAGACATCATGCATTCTATTGCACAATCCTAAATTGACTGGAGGATTTTAAAAAAGCAAACACAAGAGTATACTTCTTTTGATTGACTCATCAGTTTAATCATATTTGTGATAAACTATTTATTATGTATGCAAAGGTTTCCTTCAGGAACTTTCACAAGGTTGATTAAGACTAAGTAACTAACAACTATTAATAACACTATGCGAAAAATATTGTGTGATGAACATAGTGTTTTTCTAGTGTCTGGGTGTTTAAATATTTATAATATGTATTTATTTACAAAAGAAAAGTATGTATAAGTATGTTTATCAGTTGTCTAGTATCCATAGTACAAGCGCTGCTTAGTTTGGGACTAGAGAATGTTGTGTAAAAATGTGTCCTAAAATATTTTATTTTATTTTTATTATTACTATTATTGTTAAACATTTTTTTCATTACAAGAAACTAACCTTGTCCTCATCACTACTACTGTCATTGCTCACGTCAATCTCAGGTTTTTGTCTTTTTGAACCTGCTGTAGACTGTATGTTTGGGTTTGCTTTTTGTTGCCTCTTTGCCGGTAACACCACTGTCTGTTCTTCTGAGTCTGAACTGTTTTTTTCTGGATTGAAAAATGTAAGTAAGTGCACAATTAAACAGTGAACAAAATTAGCTTCATATGTAAAATTACTTTTTATATGTTATTGGTTATAGCGATGCATTGTTTTTAATAATACTTTAAGAAATTAGTCATGAAAAATTACGATATTATTTCTTTAAAGTACTTTATATTTGTAATTTTTCAGTAGAAGTATATTTTTTTACGAATGAAGCGCTATTACCTTCTGAGCTGGATGTTTTTCGCTTTCTTCCACCTCTGTTCTTTAAAGTTCTCTTTTTGAACGTTGTTGGAATTTCAACCTCTACGTCTGACATATTGTATAAAAGTGTAAAAAATTTATTTTCATTTAATAATTTAAATTTTATGGGATGTACTGTGTACAGTGTTGTTTACAATTTTTATGTCAATGTCAAACATCATAGGGTTTAGCGGATGACGGCTTAGGTGTTGTTAACCTGTGGCTTGGGATTTCTCTATACAGCTATATTTATCAACAATTTTTTTACATAATATCATTTATATAATATTCGGCAAAATAAACTTACGTGGGGCTTTTGATGTATTCTCGGTATAGGCCAGAAAGAACAAGCAGATAATTCTGAACAAAATTTATTTTTCAATGCAGTTCCCCAACAGCAATAGCTAGCATAATATCACAGAGTACTATGTATATACGGACAGCAACAAAATTAAAATGAACTGTAAAAATTATTATGATATATGATAACATATTTAGGACGACGCATGACATATGACATAATTTTGTTGCTTGAGAGTTAATTTTAATACAAAAGTTTATTTTACATTAAGAAACTTAGCCTCTAAATATACATGAAAATACATTTTTGGGGCCGGATATGTCGATAAAACATCCCGTGGCCCCTTCATCTTGTTTCTTAAATAGGTGACTGTTGGTCAATAAAATATTCTGCAGTATATAAATGGCGTATATTTACAAATTGTTCGACTTATTACACTGGACGTTAAGGCTATCCGATGGCACAGTATCTGCTATTGTTGCAATGAAAATCTGTGAGCCATAACGGACCAAATATTCAATTTTTTCCAAGACGTCTGCCAAGATCCCCGTCAAGTGTCAACTAACGTGAAAAAGAAAACGCGTCGACCCACAGATAATCATCTTAAGACGCCACACCACCCCCCCACGGAGAGGTTAAAATTGTTAGTAAAACAACACAACACACATTAGTAAAATAAAATAGAGCAGTTACAAATATTAAATGAACACAAATTTTTCATTACAGATCTAAAATTTCTCTAAATTTAACCTTTCTTCCAGCTCTAGTAACGTAAGGTGCTGGGGCTGAAGGTGCTCGGTCTGGTTTGGGAATGGATGGTGAGGAAGGTACTTTGGGAAGCAAAAGATGTTTTGCACCCTTGGGCTCTGCAGAATTTTGGGTTGGGAGTTCGGAGTTGAGCTGCTGGGATCCAAGAAAGCCGGTTTAACTCGGTCAATACTGACAGTGACTTTTCTGTATTTTATTTCCAGCCGATGCGAGATCTTTAAAGATGAAAGAAGCAGGTTGACAATGTCTAGATGCAGGCACCGGACGCAATGATGACATTTTTTTACGGAGTTGGCTGACAAAGTCACTGGGGTCGTTAAGAAAATCTGGCTCTGAGGCAGAGACTAGTAATTCCCCTGGCAATCTAAGTGGTTCTCCATAAACCAATTCAGCGGCTGGAAATCTTCCTTGAAGGCGGAAACGCATGACAAGGAGAACCATGGGAAGTGATCGAACCCAAGAATCGCTGTGGCACATGAGGGCTGCTTTGAGTTGTCGGTGAACCCGCTCTATTATGCCATTTGAGCTAGGGTGATAGGGAGTAGTCCTGACTCGCTGGGTTGCACATAAATTCGTTAATCGCCGGAATAATGCTGATTCGAATTGGCGCCCTTGGTCTGTAGTCAGAATACTCGGGACGCCAAAACGTGATATCCAACCCGATACGAATGTGTCTGCAACTTCTTCTGAAGTAATCGAGGTCATAGGCCATACTTCTGGCCAACGCGTAAATCTATCGATCGCGGTAAGGCAGTAGTTGAAGCCATTGGGTGGTGGCAGTGGACCTATGATGTCAATGTGGACGTGTCTGAATCTCCCAGTAGGTGCGTCAAAATCGCCATGTGGTGACATGGTATGCCGGGTAACTTTATTACGCTGACAGTCAAGACAAGTGCGTGCCCAGTGACGGCACATGACTTTAGGCCATACGTAGCGATCCGTCACTAAGCGAACGGTTGCTCTTATGCCGGAATGGCTTAAATTGTGACAACGACTAAAAGCGGCTCGGCGAAATGCTGGTGTTAGATAGGGACGAGGCCTGCCAGTAGAAATGTCACAAGTGACGGAGGTGTTCGTACCAGGCATGACAACTTCGGTGAGATGCATGCTAGAACCTTGTTGTCGCAATTTGGCTAACTCCCAATCTGACTGTTGAGCCGTGGCCAGTGCTCCGTAATCCAGTTCGAGGGCAATAGCTTCGATCCGTGACATCGTGTCTGCTACCACATTTTCTTCTCCCTTTATGTATTGGATGTCTGCGGTGAATTGACTGATGAAAGATAGTTGATTTAATTGCGCTGGTGGGAGTTTTTGACGACGCTGTAAGAATACGTATAACAGCGGCTTGTGATCCGTGTATATGGTTGTGTGTTGAACTTCCCGTATGTGTCGAAAGTGTTGTACACTCTCGTACACTGCCAGTAACTCCCTGTAACAGGCTGGCCACTGCGCTTGTTGGGAAGTTAATTTCCGACTAAAAAAGCAAGTGGTTGTTCTAAAGTTCTAAAAGCTCGGGTGTCCATAAAAATGGTTTTGCACCCTTAGCATTGGTGGCCACTAAAGCATCTATAATCGGAGCTTGGTATTTTGCTGCATCTGGAATGAAGCGGCGATAGTAATTTAGCATGCCGAGAAATCGTCGAACGCCCTGAACAGTTTTTGGAGGGGGAAATTCTAAGATAGCTTGAATACGACCTGGTGGAGGTTGAGTACCTTCTGGGCTGATATGATATCCTAAGAAAGTAGTCTCATGGACACCAAGAACACATTTGGAAGGGTTAACGACTACACCATAATCCCGAAGCCGAGCGAAGAGGATTCGCAAGTGCTCCTTACGGACAGTTTCACGGGGTGAGAAAATTAGGATGTCATCAACGTAAGGGAAACAAAAATCGAGACCCCGTGTGACCTCGTCTATAAATCGTTGAAAGGTTTGACCCGCATTTCGAAGACCGAAGGTCATGAAAGGGAATTCGAAGAGGCCAAATGGAGTAGTGATGGCCGTTTTCGGAATATCCTCTTCGACGACTGGTATCTGATGATAGGCCTTCACGAGGTCGATGGTACTAAATATGGATGCCCCAGAAAGGTTGTGTGAAAAGTCATGTATGTGTCGAACAGGATATCGATCCGGTACAGTCCTAGCATTTAACGCGCGATAGTCTCCGCATGGGCGCCATGTGTTGTCTTTTTTTTTGCGAGCCATATGTAACGGAGATGACCACGCGCTTTTAGATGGTCGAGCTGTGCCTGATTTTACCATGTCCTCAAACTCTTTCTTTGCTGTTATTAATTTCTGTGGGGCCAGACGGCGAGGACGACAAGAAATCGGTTGACCATATGTGGTTTTAATATAATGCACGGTATCGTGTTTTATGACCCTCGGGAGGCCAGGTGGACGTGTTATTTCGGGGAATTCCAGTAGCACGTGCAAAAACGGATTTCGTTGAGGCTACAGCTTTCACACTTTGTTGATCTGAAGGTACGTATGAAACGGATGCTGACCTGTTGGTAAGGCCGTCGACCAATTTCTTGCTACGACAATCCGGAAGTAAGTGGTAGTAAGACAAGAAGTCTGAGCCTATGATGGCTGCAGTGACATCTGCTACTACGCATGACCACACGAATTGTCGGTGAAGGCCTAAGTCCAAAATCAGGTTTTCCGTTCTGCGAGCCAACAGCGAGGGTAGCAGCACAGATCAGAACCAGTATCTACCAAAAATTGACGTTTAGTAACCTGGTCCGTCACAAAGAGGCGACGGCTAGATTTTTTCCATTCGCAATCAGCTGCCGCCACTACTGACTGCATGTCGAGTTTTTTTCTTTCCAGCTGCAGGGTGGAATGCATTTGATCGCCTTTGCCCCATATGACCTGTGGTACCAGCAGTACCTGTGCGATTGACGAGGGCTGGTGCTGCGTGGAGATAGGTTTGCGGATGGTATTCGACGCCCAGATTGAAACGACAAAGTGGCAATTTGCTTGGTTGTATTTTCCAACCATTCCATTAGAGAATTCGGAAGTGATGAGGATGATGCGAAAACATTTGCCGCACTTGGTTGAACGTCCATAATTTGGTCTGCAAGTTTGGCCAGTTCATCTAGTGGAATGTTATGTTGAGTTGCTAGGATGCCCTGCACATGATGGGGGTAAGCGGCGAAGCCAAAGTAGACGAAGAATATTATTATCATAAACCGTGGTCCCTGCAAGTGCGCGAAGATATCGAAGAAACTGTGAAGGCCTTCTATCACCAAGCTCATATTCACCCAGTAGGAGTCGAATCCTCTGATCATCCGATGGTGAAAAGCGATTTATTAGGGCCTCCTTAAGTTTCAAATACTTCCCGTCTAATGGAGGGTTGGAGTAGATGTCTTCAATTTCGCTGGCGATTGTATGATCAATTTGACTAAGTACATAATAATATTTGGTTTCGTCGGTATTGATGCCCGCAAGGTGGAATTGTGCTTCTGCTTGAGCGAACCAACCTGTGACATTCCCAGTCCACAAAGGGGGTAGCTTGACGGCTATTCGGCATACAGCTGGTGCATTGGTTGTCTCTGTTTGGCCTTGACTATGACAATGTTCTTGTCGGGAACGAAGGAAATTATTTTCTGCCTCCAGAGCTGCTAAGCGTTCTAGAAGCTCCTTGTCCATTGTGACAAGCAAAATAATAAAAATAAAGAGAGAGGTAAAGATTGAAAATGCTGCCAAAACCAAACCGTCACCGTTTGACAACAATGTTTAAAAATAATTATAAAAATACAGATGAACAACCACACTAAATATTACTATAGTATACACAGAAATTATACAAAGAAAAGAACATTTCGCGTTGTTAATATATAAACAAATTTTAACAACTTAAATTTATCTGATACAGTGGACTATATACATCTAATATTAGAAAAATCAATTCAGTTTAAAAGCGATAAATATGTTTACGAAGACAGAAAAACAAAAATATAAGGGCAAATAAGGAAAAATTACTAATCAGATACAAGAAAAGTTA